CCCCCCCCCCCCCATCCCCCGCGATTGCAACGCGTGCGCGCGGGCGGAGACTGCGCCAGATCTGCGATGGGAACCCCGCAAAGGATGTGCGTCCATAGTTTGAAATCCTCGCAGGACTTGCGCGCTTGGTCTGATGCGCGCTCGCGCGCACTTCATGCCTTTGTTCTTCTGCGAGCGATTATTGGCGAATCTCTCGCGGTAAAGAAAAGCGCTTGCATTGCATTTTTGGGCAGGGATGAAGGAGGGGAGGGGGGGGAGGTCAGTTTGGCTGGGATGGCGCGATTTCACGCGCGACATGAACGACGAGGCAAAGTCACGCGCCAGTTGCAGCGCCACAAGGGCGCCGATAAGTCGGGGGGGAGAGGGCGGCAGAGTCTGTCGTGCTTTTGGAAGGAGAGCATAGGCGGCGCAAGCAACGTGATGAAAGTTACGCGGCATGAGCCATCTGGCGAGAGCTACGCGTTACAAGATATGTGGCGCAAATAAGCAGGCTGAAGCTGACTTGACAACTCACGAGTTCAACGTTTGCCAACTCATGAACTGTCGACCTCGCAGCTCGCGCAGTCATCGCCCCCCCGCCCCCAACCGCAACTTGGTTTGCAGAGCCCGCGCGGCGGCGACTGCGACCAATTCTCGGCCATGGCCGGCGCATCTGCGAGGCCGGCCCGGCGCGCTCGAGCCCGCGCGCGGAGCGGCCGTCTGGCTCGACGCAGCCGATGCAGCCGCGATGGCGCTTGCCGATGGCAGCGCCCCCGCGCGCGTCAAAAGCCGCGCTGGCGCGCGGACAACTCCACGCGGGCTGGACGGCTGGGCGCGCGCGGCGCGGCGATGACCTCGACAGCGGCGTCGGCGAGCATGATGGCGGCGACGGGCGCGGCGATGGCGACGACGGCGGCGGGGCCAAAGACGGCGCTGACGCCGGCGACGGCGACCGCGATGAGGATGTCCATGTGTCGAAAGATACTGGCGATAGTGCTTGAGTGACGATGGCAGCGATGGCGGCGTTTGTCTGCGATGCTGATGATGGATGATGACGGTGATGATGATGATAGGATGGCGATGGCAATGGTGAGGATGATGATGATAAGAAGATGATGGAGATGATTATGACGACAATGATGACGACGACGATGATGACGATGATGATGTTGCTGTGATGCGGCGGTGCCGATAAGGGCCGCGGCGACGAAGCGCGCGCGTAGAAGTCCAAGAACCCCAGCAAGATTTCGGCTGACAACTGCATGGCTGTCCGTGCGCTTGCGGAGCTCCAGTTTGACGTGGTTCGCAAACGAATGGCTCTGAAAGAAGTTTTCGGCGTGCTCGCGAGGCGGCGCGCGCGCGGCCCGCGCGGTCTCATTGGGCGCGGGCTCGCCCGCTCGGCGCGCGCCGGATCAGCGAGGACGAACCGCGCGGTGAGAAGAGCACGCGGGCGCTGGGCGACATTCCTAAACTCGCAAGGTTGTCCTCAGATTTCGGCGACTGCGCGCGGGCAGAAAAGTTGGCGCGATCTGCTATGAGAACGAACGACTGAACTAACGCATCGGTTTCGTGTGTTTATGTTGGCATCCTCGCAGAACTTGCGCGCTTGGTCTGATTCTGACACGCGGGGGCGCGGGGCTCTGCGCCGTTTCCCGCGATGCATTATTGAAAGCACATACTGCGCGAGGAACGCGCGCAGAAATGGCATCCATTGACAGGGGTGAAGGGGGGCGACGCCCGGCCGAGCTGGGGCAACATGAGCGATGGGGCAGGACCCTGCGCACGACGCAGCGCCCCGCGGGGCGCCGATATGTCCTGGGGGGAGGGTGGAAGAATCGACTCTTCCCTCGAAAGGAGAACTTCTGTGGCGCGAGCTACGCGGCGCGAAATACGCGGCGCAGTGCAAATATCGCATTCCCCCCTGCAGTGCGCGAAGCCGTCGAGTCCAACGCCCCCGCGAACATCTCGCCCCCCGCCCGCAGCTCGGCCGGCAAAGACCATGCGGCCGCGATGGCGGCCAGTGATCGGCACTTTCCAGCGCGCCCGCGGCCGCGCAAGCGCGCGCTCTCGCGCGCGGGGGGGCCAGCGGGCGCGACGCAACCGATGCGGCTGCGACGGCGCTTGCCGACGGAAACGCCCCAGCGGGCCCCGATGGCGGCGCTGGCGCGCGGGCGCTTCAGCGCGGGCCGGCGGCTCGGGCGGGCGCGGCGCCGCGGCGACGTCGGCGCGGCTGCGATTGCGATCGCTAATTGGCCGCGGGTGGCGCCTCTGCGCGAGCGCGCTGGCGCAAGCGCGCTCTCGCGCGAGCGGTCAGCCGGTTCGGCGCGACCGATGCGGCCGCGACGGCGCTTGCCGACGGGCGCGCCCCAGCGCGCCTCGGAGGCAGCGGCGGGGCGCGGGCGCTTCAGCGCGGGCCGGTGACTCGGGCGAGAGCGACACCGCGATGACGTCGACAACGGCGGCAACGCCGATGAAAGTAGCGACAGCGGCGGCGATGATGACGGAGGCGACAGAAAGGCCAATGACAGCGCCGACGCTGGCGACGACGATGACGATGACGATGCCCATGCGTCGGCGATGGCAGCGACTGCGATCATGCTGGCGGCAATGGCAGAGACTGGCGATCATGCTGGCGGCAATGCGCTTCAACGATCTTCAGCGCGGGTCGGCGGCTCGGGCGGGCGCGGCGGCATGAGCGCGTCGGCAACAGCGACAATGGCGATGCTGATAGCATATAATAGCGATGGTGGCGGCGACAATGGCGGCGGCGACGGCAAGGTAAATGACGGCGCCGATGCTGGTGACGACGACGATAGTGATGCCCATATATCAGTGTGTGATTGACTGATGACGGAAAAAATGGCGGCGATTGGCGATGACGGCAACGGCGGTGATGCGCTGGCGCCGACGCGGGCGATGGCGAGGGCGTGCGCGCGCAAGAAATCAGGCAACCTTGTCGCTGAACCACGCATGGTTCCCCATCTGCATCTGCAGAGCCACGTCTTCACACTCTTCGATGACGAGTGGATTGGGAAGGATTCCGACACGCGCGCGCGGCGGCGCGAGCGTGGCCCGCGCGGTATCATGCGACGCGGATGCCTTCGCCGGGTGCATGCTAGATCAACGCAAATGTCACGCGTGGTAAAATGAGAGTGCGGGTTCTGGACAGGATTGCTGGAACCATATGGTTTTCTCATGCTTTCAGCAGGGAAGGACATGTGTAATTTTGCAGATGCAAGCATCAAGGCTTGTACACGTTGAAATTGCAGCGTTTGCATAACTACCGTGTTTCGCATGATGTTGACACGTGCGCGCGCGTGGACCTTGTACCCCTTTATCTGGAACGTTCTCGTGGTATAAACTTTGCGCGCGCGAATAATGATATCTCACAAGGGCGACGAGGGGGGTCGAAACCGGCTGGCCCAGGATGGGACATTCAGCGATGGGGCCGCAACATATGTAAATTACCGCGTCCCACGGACGACCCGGGAAGAACGGTGGTAGAGTTGACTCTATATTTTGAACAATTGTCAACTCCGTTGCTCGCGCAATCATCCCACCATCCCACCCGTGACCTGTCTTGCAAACCAATGCGGCCGCGATGGCGGTGACTGCTTGGCATTGGCTGGCACATCTCTACGGGCGCGGTGGCGCGCGCAAGCTCGCGCGCAGAGCGGCCAGCTGGTTTCGCACGGCTGTTGCGGCTGCGACGGCGCTTGCCAACGGAAACTTCCAAGCGGGCCGCGCAGGCAGCGCTTTCACGCGGGCGCTTCAACGATCTTCAGCGCGGGTCGGCGGGCGGTTGCGGTGTCATGAGCACGTCGGCAACGGCGACAATGGCGATGATAATAGCATATGATCGCTATGGTGGTGGCGACAGTGGCGGTGACGACGGCAAGGTAAATGACGGCGCCAATGCTGGTGACGACGACGATAGTGATGCCCATATATCAGTGTGTGATTGACTGATGACGGAGAAAATGGCGGCGATTGGCAATGGGGGTAGCGGCGGTGATGCGATGGCGCTGGTGCAGGTGATGGCGAGGAAATGTGCGCGCAAATATGGTTTTGGAAACATTCCGACACGCGCGCATGGCGGCGCGCGCGTGGGCCGCATGGTTCTAGTTGACACGGATCCGCGCACTGGGCGCATGCTAAATCAACGGCCATGCAACGCGTACTGAAAAGGGCTTGCGACGAGAGCGCTGAAACCGCATGGCTTCCTCACGATTTCAACACATTCGCGCGGGCAGACAATCTGCAATACTTGCAATGAAAGAAACCAAAGGGTTCTTGATGCAACAAAGAAACTACGCAACGCGTGCCCGCTGCAGCTTACCATGCGCACTCGCGTGTGGACTTTGCGCGTTGCGCTGCAAGGGGTTACTGGACAAACACGTTCGAACACGAACGAATGCGAGCGCATACGCGCAGGGGAGTAGACCCCAGCTGGCCAGGGACGGTCGGTCAGGTGGGATATCAGAGCGTGAATTACCTACCCCGCTTTCGCTTCCAGGCAAAACCAAGCCATACCACGCGCCTCCTCGTCAAACGGCCTGACCAGTACAGTCTGCAATTTGGAATCGTTTGGTATCTCTTGGAAGCGAGGGTGGTCAAACGCGAGGTAGGTTTGTTTTCCCCCGAGAATAGGAACGACGCGGTAGAGTCATGTGCTAACTGCACTACGGAAGCGGGGGCGCTTAGCCGCGGGGGGGAGAGCGGTGCGCATCGTGCTTCTTCTGGCCGGAGAACGTGTGCAGTGCAGCGTATGCGGTGTGAGCCATTTCGTCAGAGGAACGAAAAAACACACACACACAAACATAAACTTTTGGCGCTCCGCGCGGACTTCTCGGATCTGCGCCGAAACCCCCTCCCTGGCGCGCGGAGCGCGCCAGGGGCGGCGCTGGAGGCGCCGCCAGGGAGGACCGACGGGACGACCCGAAAACCTTGAAACGCGAGCCCGACGTGCGATTATCCTCGCGCGTGGCGCGGGTGAACCCGATGACCGCTGGAGGCCCCGCCTCCTGGAGGTCGCATCGCGCTGCCTGGAGCAGGTCCGCGGCTGCGAGCCGCGACCCGCCCTGCTGGAAGAGGAGGAGAGAGCGGCACGAGCACACACCGGGCGCGTGCTGACATGAGCGACGACAAGAAACCTCCTCCTCCTCCTCGTCCTCCTCCTCCTCCTCCTCTACCTCCTCCTCCTCCTCCTCCTCCTCCTCCTCCTCCTCCTCCTCCTCCTCCTCCTCCTCCTCCTCCTCCTCCTCCTCCTCCTCCTCCTCCTCCTCCTCCTCCTCCTCCCCCCTCCTCTCCCCTCCTCCCTCCCTCCCCCTCTCCCTCCCCCCCTCTCCCCCCCCCTCCCCCTCCCCCTCCCCCTCCCCCTCCCCCCTCCTCGTCCTCCTCCTCCGCCTCCTCCTCCTCCTCCGCCTCCTCCTCCTCCTGCTCCTCCTCCTCCTCCTCCGCCTCCTCCTCCTCTCCATCCTCCATATCCTCCTCCATATCCCTCATCCTCCATATCCTCCATATCCTCCTCCTCCTCCTCCTCCTCCTCCTCCTCCTCCTCCTCCTCCTCCTCCTGCTCCTCCTCCCTCCTCCTCGCTCCTCCTCCTGCCTCCTCCTCCTCCTCCTCCTCCTCCTCCTCCTCCTCCTCCTCCTCCTCCTCTCCTCCTCCTCCTCCCCTCCTCCTCCTCCTCCTCCTCCTCCTCCTCCTCTTCTGCTTCTGCTTTTTCTTCGTCGTCTTCTTATTAGTCTTATTAGTATCCTTATTACTATTATTCTTATTCGTATTCTTATTATTATTCGTATTATTATTGTTATTATTATTATTATTATTAGTATTATTGTTATTATTATTACTTTTATTATTATTATTAGTTGTATTATTACTATCAGTATTCTTATTAATAGTACTATTATTATTACTACTACTACTACTACTACTACTACTACTACTACTACTACTACTACTACTACTAGTATAAGTTTTATCATTATTATTAGTGTTATTGTTACTATTATTATTGATATTTCTATTACTAGTATTATTATTATGAAATTTAGTACTAATATTGCTATTATTCTTCGTCTTATTATTATTAGTATTCGTCTTATTATTAGCAGTCGCCTTATTATTATGCTTAGTATTAGTCTTAGTAGTATGAGTATTCTTATTATTATTCTTACTATTGCTATTTAGTATTATTATGATTCCTGTTATGATGAGTATTAGCATTATTATTACTCGTATTATTACTAGTAGTGTTCGTGTTAGTATTATTCGTATTGTCAGTCGTAGTATCATTCGTATTATTATTTGTGTTAGTAGTGATATTAATGTTATTCTTGTTGCTATTATTATGAATTTTATGATGATTATGCTTATTGTTATTAGTATTATTAATATTCCTCCTCATCCTCCTCCTCCTCCTCCTCCTCCTCCCCCTCCTCCTCCCCCCTCCCCCCTCCTCCCCTCCCCCTCCCTCCCCCCTCCCCCTCCCCCTCCTCCTCCTCCTCCTCTCCCTCCTCCTCCCTCCGTCCTCTCCTCGTCCTCGTCCTCGTCCTCGTCCTTGTCTTCCTTACCCTCCTCCTCCATATCCTCCTCCTCCATATCCAGATCCTCCTCCTCCTCCTCATCCTCCCCTCCCCCTCCCCCCTCCTCTTCCTACCTGACTTCGCGCATCACGCCCCGCGATGCGCGACTGTCTTCGCGCCCTCGCGCCGCCCCCCCCACCCCCCTGGAGAAGGACAGCCGCTCTGGTGCTTTTCTTCGCGCCCCTGCGGGTGACCTAGGGCGCGCGCGAACATGTGCAACGAGAAGAAACGGGTCTTACGCAAGAAGGCTCAGCAACTTTACGCCGCGGATTGCGCGGGCCGGCAACGCGGCACGCCACATTGGAACCGAGAGCGCGCTTCCGCGCGACCTTGCGCGCGATTGGCAGCGCAATCGGCCCTGCTTTCTTCGTCCGGCGCTCGCATGGACTTCGGATCCGTGGAGCTGGCGTGTGGGCGCCGGGTCCACGGATCAGGGCAGGCATCCTGGCAACATGAGGCCAAGTGCCGCCTGACCTGGCGACGGAGCGGGCGCCTTCATCCATGTGTTGCGCTTCTAGAAACGTAAACAAATACTTTTGGCGCTCCGTGCGGATTTCTTGGATCTGCGCTGGACCCCCCTCCCGGGAGCGAGGAGCGCGCCAGGGGCGGCGCCAGAGGCGCCGCCGGGGGGGCCCAGCGCGGATCCGAGAAATCCGCGCGGAGCGCCAAAGGTTTCTGTGTATGGCGTTTTTTTTTCTGATTCGAGCTTCCTCAAATGTGCAGTCAAAAACCCCAATAAGGACGCGCGGTAAGGACGCAAGACCCTTGGAGGCCGACGCTGGGATTTTTGTTGGGGCGGCGGACGACGAAAACCCCAAGGACGCAAGAGCAAGGAAGAGCAAGGACGCAAGGGTACTCCAGATTTCGTAATAAAGGGAGGGGGGTCTCACTTCGGGGGGGGTCTCTTCCAGGCTATCTTGGAGGGCCTGGGGGGGTCTGGGGACGATGTTTTGGAGGGTTCTCCCACGGGGGAGGTCTGAAATGGCTTGTCTTGGAGGGTCCAGACCCCCTCCCTTTTATTACGGAATCCAGGGTACCCTGGGCAAAGTCGCGCGTCCCTATTAGGGTTCTTGACCGTGTGAACATCAGCGCTCGGAGGTCCGCGCGGATGTCTTGGGCCGGCGGCGGACCCCCCGCCCTCCGGCGCGCGCAGCGCGCCAGGGACCGCCAAGAAGTCCGCGCGGACCTCCGAATGGAAAAATACACACGTCCGAGCGATGCCAGGTATATGTCCTCCACGGAGGCGCGCGTCCGACCCGAGCATGTAGTACAGCCATCTTGTAGTGTGTCGCTTCCCGAGCGGTGTGGCCAGAAAGCGCCCGCCACGACGCAAATACCATGAGACTTCTCGCTGCGCGCGTCGCCCCTTGGGGGGGGGGCGATGCACACACAGTTTGGGTATGTTGGGGTGACGCCGACCGAACGTTGTCGTGCTCGTGCCGCTTTCTCCTCCCCGACTGCTGCGACAGCTCCCTCCGCAACACGGCCCCGGCGGGGGCAAGAGGGGCGCACAGCCAAGGGGTGGCACGACGGGGCGGGCGTTCCATGCATTCGCTGGGCAGTCTCAAAGAACACACGGGCGATCGGGCTTCGCAGGATCCTGCAGGATCCTGCCTCCGAGACCAGGTCCACGCGACCCTGGCCCCCACAGGATCCTGCCAGATCCGGCGCTCTGAAGGACTCCCCGTTCGCTTTGAGCCCCGTCCCAAGGCCCCCGATGACCAAACGATTAGAAAATGCCCTGGGGGGTCGCACCGCCCCGGTGGGAAATGGACGATTGAGCACATTTTCCCGGCTCGTCGTCATCGAGGAGGAGGAGGAGGAGAAGGAGGAGGGGAAAGAGGGGGAGGAGGAGGAGGAGGAGGAGGAGGAGGAGGAGGAGAGAGGAGGAGGAGGAGGAGTGAGGAGGAGGAGGAGGAGGAGGAGGAGGAGGAGGAGGCGGAGGAGGAGGAGGAGGAGGAGGAGGAGGAGGAGGAGGAGGAGGAAGAGGAGGAGGAGGAGCTGCTGCCCTCGAGGCCGCCAGGCCTCAGCCAGCGATCTCCCTGACGAAAGACAGCCACGCTGCTGCCGTCCCTGCCGAGTCTGCTCTGTCCTGCAGCAGGTTCGTGTAGTGACGACGCTGGCGCTGGCTTCTGGCACCGCGTGGATCGTTCATAGGGGAACAAGAAGTGACATAAACATAAAAACTCTGAGGTCCGCGCGGATTTCTCGGATCGGCGCTGGGGCCCCCCGGCGGCGCTTCTGGCGCCGCCCCTGGCGCGCTCCGCGCGCCAGGGAGGGGGGTCCAGCACCGATCCGACAAATTCGCGCGGACCTCCGAGTTTTTATGTTTATGTCACTTGTTGTTCCCCTAGTTCAACCCTGAACGATCGCTGGCGGCGCGCACAGGGGGTGGAGGGAGTGGGGAGGGCTTCTTAGGAGGAGGCTGCTTCTCAGGAAGGCTTCTCAGAAGGAGGCTGCTTCTTAGAAGGCGCCGGCCTTGCGTCTATAGAGAAGTCCCGCGCCTTCTAAGAAGCCGGGGTGCTTCTTGAAGCCCTCCCCCCTCCCCCCCACCCCCCTCTGCGCGTGGCTGAGGTCGGCCGTTCCCGCAACGCCCAATCGTTCACCATCGGCCGATTCTGGGTCGCCGCCGGCGTCCAGCGTCGAACGACGCCGGCGGGGTCGCCGCCGGTCGACACGACAGGAACCTGCCGTACACAGCTCGCCTGCCAAGGTGCAGAGTGCCCGTTCCCCCCCCCAAAAAAAACAATACCGTCGGGGCGCCGACCCGAGGAACCCTAGATATGAGGAGCGAGGCCCCTCTTCCTCACAAGACTTGAGCTTCGATGGCCCCTGCAAGACCTGAAGACAGCCAAAGGCACGCTGTACAACAATCGAGGAACACCAAGCCCCTCCCCAACGAACAGGGTTCCTTCTTCAGCGCCCCGACTGTAGTTTTAGGTCGGGCATGTCCCCCTACAGGTGGATTTTGGAGGAACAATAATAAATACCAGTAAAATGCTCAGAAATAATAAAAACATACAAAAATTCGTCCACATATTATTTTTTGACTACTTTGGGGGCACGCCCGACTTAACTGTAGGTGCGCTGCCAGATCCAGAACCGATCGGGCGCGTTGCCCCCTGTGGCCTCCCGTCGTCTCCCGTGGTCTCCCCGTGGCCTTTCCTGTTGCCCCCCGCTGCCTCTGGTGGCCTCCGGTTGCCTGTCATTGCCGTCCCTCGCCCTGTCCCTGTCCGCGTCCCTAGGTATCCATATCCCCATCCCCATCCCCATCACGCTGTCCATCCCTATTCCTATCCCTGTCCCTATATCCTCACGTGTCCCCCTGTCCCTGGCCCCGTATCCCTATCCCGACCCACATCCCTATCCATAAATCCCTAGCACTGTCTCCCTCCCGACCCACATCCCTATTTCGATGCCCCATGGTGGCCCCCCGTCGCGAACCCCCGTCGTGGCCTCCATCGTAATCGTGTATCGCGGTTTCGAGTCTTCTGCCGGAAGGGCGTCGTCTACGGTCAGAAACTTGCGCATAGTGTCTCGCCGCGGCGGCCCCGGCGACACTCTTTTTCTTCCTGGTGGACGACGTGTCGCTCCGCTCCGCGGGGCGGAAGTCGGGAAAAGCTCCGGACGTTGACGCCTCGGGGCCAGGGAGTGGATCATGAGCGTGTCGAGCCGAAGCGTGGTGGGCCAGAACAAGCGGAGCGACATGCTAAGGCAAGACTTCCAGATGAGCAAAAAACTGCGTAAACTTAGGTCGGGCATTTGCTCCTACCGGTCGATTTTTGGGGACAAATCAAAAATGAACAAACCATAATCAAACATAGTTAATAAGGCACGAAATATTTTCACGTGGCTATTTTTTACTACTCTTGCCTACTCCTAATGATGACGAGGAGGAGGGGGAGGAGGAGGTGGAGGAGGAGGAGGATAAGGAGGAGGAGGAGGAGGAGGAGGATATTGAGGGCGTGCCTATGATGGGCAATCTCGCTGTTCAACCTCTGCTGATCTCTGGCTGTCGGCAAGCCCCGCTCAAACTACCTGCTAAAATCAAAGGCGGGCGACCGAGGAGGAGGAGCAGGAGGAGGAGGAGAGGGAATAACGCAGGCCACGCCTCATGTTTGCCTAACGTCGAAACAAGGAGAAGGAGGAGGAGGAGGAGAAGGAGGAGAAGGAAGAGGAGAAGAGGAGGAAGAGGAGGAGGAGGAGGAGGAGGGGAGGAGGGGAGAGAAAACGAGGAGGAAGAGGAGGAGGAGGACGAGAAGGAGGAAGAGGATGACGAGGGAGGAGGAGAGGAGAGGAGGAGGAGGAGGAGGAGGAGGAGGAGAGGAGGAGGAGGAGGAGGAGGAGAAAAAAAGAGCAACAGGACGAGGAGGAGGAGGACGAGGAGGAGGAGGAGGAGGAGGAGGAGGAGGAGGAGGAGAAGAAGGACGAGGAGGAGGAGAAGGAACAATGCAACAGGCCACGCCCCATGTTTGCCTAACGTCAGAAACAGGAGGAGAAGGACGAGGGGGAAGAAGAAAAGGAGGAGGAGGAGGAGTCGGAGTCGGAGTCGGAAGCCTGGGCAACTCAAGGTCATGTGCTCGGTCTCATGGCCTGTCTCGCTGTGTCTGCGAGCTCGGTAGCTGCTGGCGGCATTATCGGCATAGCAGGGGTCAGCCTACGGGTCCCCTGGCCTGGTCAGGCCCTATGGGCCCGCTGCAGCTCGGCGCCGAGCCCCTCAAACTCAAAACTGATATGAACGGCGGAGGCTATGGCCTTCTGGCCCATCACCTCCTGTTCGGGTTATTATGTGTACGCTGTAGCATCTGGAAGTCCCGTCCCCCCCCCCAACACCATCCCCTCTCCCCTCCTCCACTCCGATAAGTTAGTGGGCTTGCCCACTAAACATGCATAGAAGACGTGCGTCCGTGCGGCCACATATTGGCTTTCCTCGAGAGCTATACTCCAAAGGGCAGTGCGCATTCGCTAATGCACCCTATACCCGAACGTCACTGCATGCTCGGAACGGGTCTGCCAAGGGGGTTCAGGAGGCTAAAAAGTCTGACGCGGGGGTCCTTGAAAGAAAGCGTCGATCCCAAATCGGGGCAGGCGAAAGCCACAAGCGATGTGGACTCCATTCTCTCCCGATGTAGGTCACCACGTACTGAAGAAACCCATCCATTCTAGTCTGATATCGTGATATCCGCCTGGCCCTCTGGCCGTTGCAAGGTGGCGAAAAAACAGAAAAAGACCGCCTTCTCACTGCTCACTATTGCTGCCGTAGTTGAGCAAGCAGTGTGCGGGCACGTTCACTCCCACGCAACGCCATCTCACGGAGCCCCGCCATGTTCACGATCCGAGCTGCTGGCGCGCTTCGAGCGCGCTCTGCAGCTGTCGCTCCAGCGCCGACGGTGGAGGCGCCCCGAACACCTGGTTCGCCGTGAGTGCCCGTAGTCCCCTGCACGTCGCCAGCCGTAGGTCTTGAACCGTGTAGTTCCCCAGCTTCACTTGCGGCAGCTCGTTGCCCGTGCGAATGGCGTTCACCTGGCCCTCGTTGTGCCCCGTCCACGGAGTCGCTGCCAAGGCGTTGAACATCATGTGAAGCTTCCACTTCTGCGTCTGCCCTGGGTCCGTGTACGCCTTCTTCACCCGAAAGTAGGAAATGATGTCCGCCAACTCCTCCTTCTGCATTATCTCGATCAGCATCGAGAACTGTGTCAAGACTGTCGCTGTCTCGCCCTCGATGTCTGCGCTCTTGGCGATCTCCTGAAAGAAGTCCGCGGCCACGTGTAGATGTGGGGACCCCATCTCCTTGCTGCCCTTCGACTTCACGTCCTCTGCGTAAGTGATTCCTGCTGCCGCCGCTGCGTCGATCGCCTTGTTCTCGTTTTCGACCAGGAAGAAGTCCCACAGGCTGCCCGAGACCAGGCGCATCATCTGCGCGTTGTTGAGCGACATTTTCTGTAGCAGCATCGTCTCCTCGTGTGTTGCACCTTCGCCTGAGCCAAGTTTGTTGCCAGCAAGCTTCTTCGGGGCGCCACGTGCTCCCTTCCGCTCGGGTGCGATGGCCTCTGCCGCTCGTTCCATCGCCCCTGTCCTCGGTCTGCTGATTCCTCCTCCTGCTCGCCACGACATGGCTGTCACTAGGAGGTCCTGGTGCGCGTGTTGATACGTGTGCGAGATGTTCGTTAAGATCAAAGTCCTCTCTGTGACAGACTCCGCACGTGTAGAAGCTCTTCTCTTCTGGCTTGAAGTCAAAAGAAGTGGCTCGGGTAGGGCAGCGACTGGGTTCTGACCGAGACATTGTAATGACATGGCGTAGGCAGGACGATCGGCTTGCGAAACATGTGCGACACCATGGGCAGACGTTCGTGCTAACGATCATGGAGTGCAAGTTACGCATGTTATGTGCATGTGTGACGTGTGCTGTGAGTGCCTTCAGCGTAGTGAATGACATGCCGCACCCCTTGCCCTCGCCCTCCCCCCCATCTCGTGCGTGCACACGTATTCGTCGATAATACTGCTGGTGCTGCTGCTGCCGTGCTCCACGTGCTGGTGCTCTGTGATGCTCGTGTGTATTCCCAGCCGTCTCCGTAGTATGTCCAGTTTTTTTTTCCCGAGATGTTGAGTAGGTCTCTATTTAAGCCCACGTGTACCTTAGCGAACCTCTTCCCAAGCTGGGGGTCTTTGAACACCTGCAGTACGTTTTCTCTGTCGGTCCAAATCTGGTCGAAGCGAGTGTCTACGTCTGCGAGCGCCTGCAAATCGTCCTTGACCTGCCTCGCCCAAGGCGTGGAGTGAGGAGTCAATCTGCCTTCAGGGCTGCACCTCGGAACCTCGAGCAATCTATCCATTTCTGTCGTCCCAAAAATGGCGGTCAAAACCTGCTTGTGATTGTTTGGGCCCTTGGCCATCTGCTGGAGCCATCGGAGTCTCTGCGCGCGTAATTCAGCGGCTGTGTCGCTCATCTTCCAATGCCCAAAGACGTCATTGTTGCTCGAGGTTCGCACTCGCCCTTCAAACTCTCGCTTGGCCTTTCCGTGCATCAGGCAGCGTAGCATTTTGACCATGATGGGCAATCTCGCTGTTCAACCTCTGCTGATCGCTGGCTGTCGGCAAGCCCCGCTCAAACTACCTGATAACATCAAAGGCGTGCGATCTACCGTGCACGTCTGACGAAGAGGAGGAGAAGGAGGAGGAGGAGGAGGAGGAGGAGGAGGATGAGGAGGAAGATGAGGAGGAGGAGGAGGCGCGCACCACCTGGCGCGACGGGAGATCCGAGGTGCGGGCAGCTACTATATGGAGTGCCCTCCAGGGGGAGGGACTTACCAGGGCCTGGGAAGAAACGCGCGCACTGTCAGAAAGGGGGGGGGGGGGGGGGGGGGGGGGGGGCATCCTTTTTTTGCGGCGCCCACCCGACCAGGCGGTCGAGGCGGCACCCGACAGCCCCCCCCCCCCACATTAAATCGGCCAAGTGGCTTCCCGTGCGCGGGTGGAGGCCACGAGACGCGTGCTTAATCTTGGTCGCCTGGGAACTCCGAGTTGACGGGTGCAAGGAACGACCAAGACAGCGCTTCTCAAGCCCACGGAGCAGACCTCCTGGGATGATGACGTGGGCTGAGCACAACGAACAAAAGGCCACTCGGCCCGCCTGCTCCATCTGGTGGCCCAGGGACACAAGCCGAGCGGTGAGGGTTTCAGTCGGCGGCACCTGGGCCAGGTCAGAAACGGACCCCAGGGACCGAGCAGCAGCCTCTAGCGCCGCAGGCGCCGAAGAAAAAACAACCCCCTCCTCATCTCGCGTCGCGAACACCGCCTCCGCCTGCCACGCCTGGAACGCGCTAGGCCCACAGTGGCGGCGGCTGCCAGAACGGAGCTGGGCGAGGGAGGAGGGGGTCTTGGCATACATGTTACATCTCTTACACCGCCACTCCCCAGAGGACGGGAAGTGGTACAGATCGTGCTCGAGCAGCGCCAGCCCGCTCTCTCCTTCACGCTCTCGCGCACGCCGCAGCACGGGAGTCGGGGCCGAGAGCTCCTGGGCGCACGCGCCAATACTCTGAGCAAATCTGGACAGAAAATCCAAAGTCTGCCGTGTCTGTGTGATCACGGTGCTCTGGACCTTCTCAAGCGTCATAGCAGCAGCGTGGGAGTCCGCTCCGATACGCGCAAAAAAGTCGGCCCACGTGTTCACTAAAAAATTGCACCTCGACCTCGGATCCCGACGCGACCACAACATCCCAATCACGGTGAGCGGGTGTCCATTCGAACGACGGCCTGGGACCAGGGCGGTCATACAACTGAAAGATCTGCCTCCAGACAGCGGCGTGACGCCCTCCGCTGGCCGCCAGGCCATCCCACGACTGCCCCTCCAAGACCGCGCTCAGGTGGTCTGACACCACATGCACATTCGGGGGGCAGACTCTAAACGCCTGGAAAACCGCAGACCTCTCGGCCCGAGGCACCGTCTGGGTGCCGCCAGGCAACCCCCCGAAGCGGGCCCGAATCGGGAGCCCACGCGGGCCCAACTCGACCACGGCCCACCCGCACCGCCCAAATTCGGGGCTGCTGCTGCACAGCCCCGAACCGTCGGTATAGACGCGCCGCCCCCATGGCGCTTCGGTCTCACCCCACGTGCACACAGGGAGCTTGTCAGGGACGGGGTCAAGAGTGACGGGGTCAGGCGGGAGGCCATACAAAGCCTCGAGAGAATCCCAGACCTGCATTCCCGCCTCGAACCGACCCGTGTCCCTGAGCTCAGACCTGCGCAGAGGAGGAGGAGGAGGAGGAGGAGGAGGAGGAGGAGGAGGAGGAGGAGGAGGAGGAGGAGAGAGGAGGAGGAGGAAGGGGATCAAGAAGAGGAGAGGAGGAGGAAGCGAAGGAGGAGAAGAGGATGAGGAGGAGCAAGGAGGAGAAAGAGGAGGAGGAGGAGGAGAGGAGGAAAAAGAGGAGGAGGAGGAGGAGGAGGAGGAGGAGAGGGAATAACGCAACAGGCCACTCCTCATGGTTGCCTAACGTCGAAACAAAGAGAAGGAGGAGGAGGAGAAGGAGGAGAAGGAAGAGGAGGAAGAGGAGGAGGAGGAGGAGGAGGGGGAAGAAAACGAGGAGGAAGAGGAGGAGGAGGACGAGGAGGAGGAGGACGAGGAGGAGGAGGAGGAGGAGGAGAAGAATAATCAGAATAATAATAAGAAAAATAATAATAATAATAATAAAACGAATAGTCCGAATAATAAGAACATAGTGAGAAGAAACATAAGAAGAAGACGACGACTACTACTACTACTACTACTACTACTACAACTACTACTACTACTACTACTACTACTACTACTACTACTACTACTACGACTACTACTACAACTACAACTACAACTACAACTACAACTACAACTACAACTACAACTACAACTACAACTACAACTACAACTACAACTACAACTACAACTACAACTACAACTACAACTACAACTACAACTACAACTACAACTACAACAACTACTACTACTACTACTACTACTACTACTACTACTACTACTACTACTACTACAAATAATACTGATACTACTAAGCATACTAAGAAGAATACTACGAATAATAATAATACTAATAAGAATAATAATACGAATAATAAGAATAATACGAATAATCATACTAATAATAATAAGAAGAAGAAGAAGAAGAATTTAAGGAGAAGACGACTGATAATCATAATAAAAAGGACGAGGAGGAGGAGGAGGAGGAATAATGCAACAGGCCAGGCCCCATGTTTGCCTAACGTCAGAAACAGGAGCAGGAGAAGGACGAGGGGGAAGGGGACGAGGAGGAGGAGAGAGGAGGAGGAGGAGGAGGAGGAGGAGGAGGAGGAGGGAGGAGGAAAAGGAAGGAGGAGGGGAGGAGGAGGAGGAGGCGGAGAAGGAAGAGGAGGAGGAGGAGGAGGAGGAGGAGGAGGAGGAGGAGGAGGAGGAGGAGGAGAGAAGAGGAGAGAGGAGGAGAGAGGAGGAGGAAGGCCCTTTCCCCCCCGATTTCGCTGGCTGGTAGGTGCCACGCTGGTAGTGCGCGATGAACACCACCCGCTCAATTCTGTTTGCCCCTGCTGCGGCCGCCGGAATGGCGCGGCGAAAGAGTGCCTGCGCCGCCTGCGGGCCGCCGCCGCCCTCGAGCACTGACGAGCACGCCTCGACCGCCTCCTCCAGCAACGCGGCCCCGCCGCAACGCAGCGCGCAACTGGCCTGCGGGGGCTATGCCGGACACGCGTCGACCTCTTTTCCTCCTTTTCCTCCACCTCCTCCTCCTCCTCCTCCTCCTCTTCCTTCTTCTTCTCCTTTTCCTCGTCCTCCTCCTCCTCCTCCTCCTCCTCTTGCTTTTCCTCCTCCTCCTCCTCCTCCTCCTTCGCCGTTGCGTTAACCAGATTCCTCGGATTGTAACGCTTTTGCAAACAAAGTCGAACACATACAGAGCAGGCTCTGGCAGTGCAGCAGCTCGCGCCGGCGAGAACCACTAAATGCAAAACAGTGGGAACAGCTGAAAATCAAGAGTATGCTGCAACGCCTAGGCGTGGCAAAACCGATCCCCCCGTGCAACATCATCTGGATATCATATATCCCTCTTGCGTATCCACCCCGGTACCTTCCTTGGCCAGGCAAACGATGTGCATAACAGAAAAACGCAAGCAAAGCGGCAAATCTCGGGCTGCTACTCAAGGTCTCACGTTTCACCCCGAACCTCCACGGCTTCAGGGCTCTCGTGCTTTTTGGATCTCTTTACGGGTTTAGCACGAGCCCCTTGTGTCAGCAGGCTGGCGCAGAATACAAGGATGGCCTACAATCGGTGCGGCATGGCAGAATCAGCAACACGGAATAAGTGAACATTAAGTGATGTAGCGCAAGAAAAATCGGCATTGAAAAGTACTGGCTGCCGTGAAAAGTGGCTGACTGCTTTGAAAGAACAAAGTACGGATACTGAACGAAGTAACTGCGCGCATTCGGGATTGCGCAAGTCGCGCTGGCCAGCCCTTGCCTTTCAAGGCAAACGCAAAACAACTGTTCGGTAAGTAGTCCTCCCCGCACTGACTTAATCTGTCCCCGAATTCTGGGCGAGATTTCAGCAAGTAAGAAACGTGGCGTGGCGCCGCCAAAAGACATGAGGTGAGGCTGTCAAGTGCAGTCCCCCACCACCTCCTCCATCCTCAAGATGCCCCGCCTCCCCCAAGCTCTCTAGGCCGGCACCGCCCGGCCACGTGCGCAAGGCCGCGGGCATAAACGTCGCGGCAGAACGAGGGAAGACATGAGGAATATGCTCGAGGGCGAGAAGAGCTGGGGGGGACGAGCGACGGCAGGAGGGGCCAGGACAGGTCAAGTGATGGGAAGGCCGCGGTGAAAATATCACCGGCACTACCGACGTCGTATCACATGGAGGTCGAAAAAAAAACGAAAAAGTGCGTTCTGTGGTCGCTTGGAAAGAGGGCGGGGGTGAAACCGGACCCCCCCTTCTCCCTGGATGGAAGGGGGGGGGAAGGGGTTCGAACCCCCTCCCCCTTCCTTCCTCCCCTGCTTCCCGTGCTTCCCCTCCTCTCCTCGGGCCGGCGCTTGCGTCGGCGGCGGCTGGCGGAAGCGGCGGGGACGACGATTTCCTTTTCTGGGCCAGCGCCTGCGCCTGCGGCGGCGGGCGGCGGCGGCGGGGAGCGTCGACGAGGACGACGGTGGTGGTGGTGGTGGTGGGTTGTGGTGGTGGTCGTAGTGGCGGCGGCGGTGGTTGTGGTGGTGGTGGAATTGTGGTTTGTTGTGGTGGTGGTGGTGGTTGTGGTGGTGGGTGGTGGTGGTAGTGGTGGTTTGGTGGTGGTGTGGTGGTGGTTTGTGGTGGTGGTGGTGGGTTGTGGTGGCGGCGGTGGTTTGGTGGCGGTGTGGTGGTGGTTTGTGGTGGTGGTGGTGGGTTGTGGTGGTGGCGGTGGTTTGTGGAGGTGGTGCTGGTGGTGGTGGTGGTGTCGGAGGCGATGGTGGTGTGGTTGTTTGTGGCGGTGGCGGTGGGTCGGGCTGCTAATAGTGGTGGTTGTTGCGGTGGTGGTGGTGGTGGTGGTGGTGGTGTGGTAGGTTGTGGTGGTGGTAGTGGTGGTGGGTTTTGTGGTGGTGGTGGTGGTGGTGGTGGTGGTGAGTTGTGGTGGTGATGGTTGTGGTGGTGTGGTAGTGGTGTGGCGGTGGTTTGCGGCGGTGGCGGTGGGTTGTGGTGGTGGCAGTGGTTTGTGGACGTGGTGCTGGTGTGGTGGTGGTGGTGGCGGTGGTGGTGGTGGTGTGGTGGTTTGTGGTGGTGGCGGTTGGTTGTGCTGCTAGTACTGGTGGTGGTTGTGGCGGTGGTGGTGGTGGTGTGGTGGATTGTGGTGGTGGTGGTGGTAGTGGTGGTGGGTTTTTGTGGTAGTGGTGGTGGTGATGGTGAATTGTGGTGGTGGTTGTGGTGGTGGTGGCTGTGGTGGTGGTAGTGGTGGTGGTTGTATGGTGGGTTGATTTGGGCGCCCGAGTTATCCGGGGTAACTCGGGTCCGGGGTAACTCGGGTTCGGGTTCCCGAAAAAGCGAACCCGAGTGATCCCTGACCCGAGTTACCCCTGATGATTCGGGGCTCTGGGCGCCCGAGTTATCCGGGGTAACTCGGGTCCGGGATAACTCGGGTCCGGAATCCCGAAAAACGAACCCGAGTTAGGCACTGACACGAGTACCTGATGATTCGGGGCTCTGATGATGGTGGTGGTGGTGGAGGTGGAAGCGGATGGTAGGTAGTGGGGGCGGTGGTGGTGGTGATCGTCGCTAGCGTCTTCCGCCGTAGCCGGCGCCAGCGCCTGGCGCGACCGGCCGCCGCCAGCCGCTGGCGCCGGCGCCAGGGGGGGGGTTGAAACCCCCCCCCCCCCTTGGGGCTGCCTCTGGTCATCGTCGCTGCGTCCCCGCGGTCGGCGCTGCTGGCGGCCGCCAGCGTTGGCACCGGCGCCGCGGGGGGGGGGGTGAACCCCACCCCCGCCCTGGGAGAGGAGGGGAGGGGGGGGGTTCGGGAAGGGGGGGGTTAGGGGGGAGGGGAGCCCCCCTGGTTTTGATAGACGGCGCCGAGTGTTGGGGGGGGCCCCACCCCCCGGTTCGAAACGCGCCGCCGAATGTTCCCAAAGCAAGCGCCTGTGAAACGCATTCTCTCAAAGACCAAGAGCGTACGCGATGCCGGCGCGATGCGTCTGGGTCGCTGGCACCATTACAATGGCGACTTTAAAATCAAAATCTGATTCGTCCGCGCAGAAGTCCTGAATGCGCTGCTGAACAGGGATCCCGTTCGCAATCAAAGAGGGCGCGAGCATTCGTAGACGCGTCCAGTGGCAAACGCAAGCATGTAGCCGTGCCCCGCGGCCGCCGTGAAGAATGCGCCGCGAACATTGGGAGGAATCTGGTTGCGCGCGGCGCCGCGCGAGACCCCCTTCGTATTCGCGCTTTCAGAAATCAGGGTGCGTTCGCAAAATATGAGGCTGTCGCGAACGAGACCAATGAGTTCGTCAAGTGCATCAACAGCGGGATCGGAATACTCTCGACTTTGCTCCGCTGCGCCGTCACCAAATGCACACTGCATTCTGAGATCGACACTCGGTCTTCCCGATCATCGTGGCGTACGACTTCGGCGTCGTGGGTTTCCGAGGATGTCGACGACAGCGCCTCGGGGCCTCAGCCTTCCCTTGAAACGACATGAGGTTCCGAATTGTTTTTGCAATGTCGTTTACTTGTTGCACGATTTCGGCGTTGCGGGTTTCCGAGGACGTCGACGACAGCGCCTCAGAGCCCCCACCTTCCCCTGGAACGACATGCGAAATGCCGAATCGTCTGTTACCATACTGCTTGCTTGTTGCACGACTTCGGCGTCGTGGATTTTCGATGATGTCGTCGACAGCAGTTCGGGGCCTCCACCTTTCCTTGACATGACATGGGGTGCCGAATCGCGCATTACCATATTGTTGGCTTGTTGCACTAATTCTTTTTGTGGGTTTCCGAGGACGTCGGAGACAGCGCCTCGGTGCCTCCGCCTTCCCGTGCACATGTAGTCGTTCCCGATGGCTCTGGGCATTCAGTTGCGCGCGTCTCTCTGTCAAGAGAACTGTCAGCTGTGTCATCGACCCGCGGGGTATACACTGGTGGAGGCGGTGGAAGCCCAGTAGAGATGGGTAGCCGCAGTGGTTGAGGAAGCTGCAAGAACCAGATGCGGGCACGTGGGGCACCAATTCTGGCGCGCACTTCTTGAGACATGAGTAATGCTCAATTGTGTTGGCACAAGTGTCACGCCGATCCTTATCGCCACGGTTCGCCTTGAGAACAACAATACCACTGGAAAGTAGGCTCACGTCTTTGACGGCAACATGTGTGCGACGAGTACGAGCTGCAAACCCAAGTCGATTGAATGCTTTTCTCATTTCGTTGCTATTAGCACTCGTGCATGTTTGAGTATCGGAGATGCCAGGAGGAAAATCAATGCCATGGGAAACAAGACAGACAAACATTGCCATCGCCGGGCCTCGGCAAAGTTGGTTCGATCTCGATAGCGCGAGCGCCAACCTGGGGGGGGGGCACCACGCTGTCACTGACACGCCGAAAAAGGCATGGCGGTCAGTGGCTCCTCCTCCTCCTCCTCCTCGTCGTCGTCGTCGTCCTCCTCCTCCTCCTCCTCCCCTCCTGCCCTCTCTCCCTCCCCCCCTCCCTCCCCTCCCACCTTTCTCCCTCTCTCCCTCTCCCTCTCTCCATCTCTCTCTCTCTCACTCTCTCTCTCTCTCCATTCCTCCCGCCCTGCTTCCCTCCCCCCCTCCCTCCCTCCCGCCTTCCCTCCCTTCCTGTCATGCTCCTCCTTCTCTTTTTCCTTTTTCTCCTCCTCCTCCTGCTCCTGCCTGCTCCTGCTCCTGCCTCCTCTCTCCTCTCTCCTCTCTCCTCTCTCCTCTCTCCTCCCTCCTGCTCTCCTCGCTCTTCCTCCCCTCATCATTCCTCCGCCTCCTCTTCGCGCTCCTCCTACCTCATACTCACTCTTCCTCCTCCCTCCTCCTCCTCCTCTCTTCCTCCCCTCCTCCTCCTCCTCCTCCTCCTCCCTCTGCTCCCTCTGCTGCTGCTGCTGCTGCTCCTCCTCCTCTTGTGTTTTCTTGTCGCGGCGAACACCAAGCAACATGTTTCAACAATGTTGCGCATGTCTGCCTACTTGTCCTCAAGTGCGTGCGTTGTTCCGTGATGCCGTGGCACCCCTCCTGCTGGGACATGGGCCCTTCCACGGGGCAGCGCCCTGGCACGGCTGCCTGGGGATGCGCCTTCCCCAGCCTAGCACGCTGGAGAGACTGGGACCTCTGTAGTCCGTGAGCTTCTCTGTTCCAGCCGATCCGTTCCCAGACGAGGCGCTGGCCTCCAGGACCAAGCCTGGCCGCAATGCCAGCGGTCCTGCATACCCTCCGTATGTGTGTTGCCCATTGTTGAGGAGCTTGCCATCGTGAGGTGAACAGGGGTGACTGCCACTAGGCACGCGGAGTTCACATGCCTACCACCAGTCTAAGGTGCCTCATATGGTACAATCCGCGCACCGTCATCAGCGAAAGGTGGACTTCCCCACTTCCACCGCCACCGACAATCAAAGGGTGATGCCTACCCTTGCGGATATCGGCGCAACGCTACAATCCTCCTCCTCCTCCTCCTCCTCATCTTCCTCCTCATCATCTTCCTCCTCATCATCAACCTCCTCCCCCCCGGGGGGGGGGGAGGGGGGGCGATACGCGGGAGCGGGGAGGGAGGAGCGCGCACCTCTCGTGCTCCTTCTCGGGCCCCCGAGGGGGGCCCTCGCGGGCCCCTTCTAGGGGGGCCCTCGCCCCCCCCCCCAATTATCGCACCCCCGTTCCTCGACAGGGCTGGCACGACAGGGTGTCACAGCACTGTCTGCGTCCACGCGCCTGCGGCGTATGACTGACTCGTCGTAGTAGTAGTAGGAGTAGTAGTAGTAGTCGTCGTCGTCGTCGTCGTCGTCGTCGTCGTCGTCGTCGTCGTCGTCGTCGTCGTCGTCGTCGTCGTCGTCGTCGTCGTCGTCG